ATTCCAGTCCATTTTAGTTCACTGATTTCTGAAATGTCAGTGTTCACTCTTGCCATCTCCTGTTTGGCCACTTCTAATTTACCTTGATTCATAGACCTAACATTCCGGGTTCTATGCAGTACTGCTCTTCACATCATCGGACTTGACTTCCATCACCAGTCGCATCCGCAGATGGGCATTGTTTTTGCTTTAGCTCTGTCTCTTCATTCTTCCTGGAGTTGTTTCTCCACTCTTCTCCAGTAGCATATTGGGCACCTACCGACCTGGGGAGTTCATCTTTCAGTGTCCTCTCTTTTTGCCTTTTCATTACTGATCATGGGGTTCTCAAGGCAAGAATAGTGAAGTGGTTTGCCATTTCCTTCTCCAGTGGACCATGTTTTGTCAGAACTCTTCCCCATGACCCATCCGTCTTGGGTGGCCCCACATGGCATGGCTCATAGTTTCATTGAGTTAGACAAGGCTTTGGTCCATGTGATCAGTTTGGTTAGTTTCCTGTGATTGCAGTTTTCATTCTGTCTGCTCTCTGATACATAAGGATAAAAGTCCTAAGCACATCTTATTTGATAATTCAAAATCAAAACACTTTTAAAAGGATTCAAAATTGTACAAACACACTTAAACATGGTCAAAGGCTAAAAGATACTGTGCAGAAGGAAAACATCCACCAAACTGTCAGAATCGTGGGAGATATCATGTCAGAAAGGATTCCTCAAGAAAGTAGCATCTAAACTGAGACCAAAATGACAAGGAGTGTATACTGGATGTAGATGGGAGCAAGAAAAATGTTTAGTAGGGAACAAATGGCTCAGATGGTAAAGAATCTGCCTGCAGTGTGGGAGACCTTGGTTGCATCCCTGGATTCTGAAGGTCCCCTGGAGAAGGGAATGGCAACCCACTACAGTATTCTTGCCTGGAGAATCCCATGAAGAGAGGAGACTGGAGGGCTACAGTCCATGGGGTTGTAAAGAGTCGGACGTGACTGAGCAACTTACACAGACACACACACACACGCACACACAGGGTAGAGATAGAGGATCATTAGAAGAACCAAAAATGCTTGAAGCTGTCTTGATTGGAGAATGAAAAGGTGGGGGGCAAGAAAGGGAAAAGAGTGGGGAGAGAGAGAGGGGCAGATCCTCCTTGTCTACATGAAGGGTTATTAAGCAAGGGAGTGCGCTGATCAGATTTATTGGTTTCGGAAAATTCACTGTGGAACTGTGGAGAGCATGACGGGAAGGAGCAGGAGGTTCCGTTAAAGCTGTTGCAGAAATCCAGAGGAGAAATGATGGTGGTCAGAGTCTGGTACTACTGGGGTAGGGGAGGGGCTGGTTTGAGAGAGCCTTAGGACTAGACAACTGGACAAGCTGCAAGTCCAAACAGTAGCTTTTATAAACTGGAGGTTGGAGTTGTCACTCTTTGTGACTCTGCCTCTGTGATTCCGGGCTGTGTGACATCTCCCACTGGGGCCTGTTTCCACTTTGTCTTTCATTGCTCCTTGTCGGGGCTAGTTGTCAGCCAAGGTGCTCACTGCCCCATCTTTTTCTCGTTCAGTCATCAGGCAGGGCTTTTCATTTAGATGAAAGTCTGAATTTACAGAAAATACTATACCAAATTAATGCTTTCAAATTGTGATGATGGAGAAGACTCTTGAGAGTCCCTTGGACTGCAAGGAGATCAAATCAGTCCATCCTAAAGGAGATCAGTCCTGAGTGTTCATTGGAAGGACTGATGCTAAAACTCAAGCTCTAATACTTTGGCCACCTGATGCAAAGAACTGACTCATTGGAAAAGACCCTGATGCTGGGAAAGATTGAAAGCAGGAGAAGAAGGGGGCGGCAGAGGATAAGATGGTTAGATGGCTTCATTGACTCAATAGAACTTGAGCAAACATCTGGTGATAGTGGAGGACAGGGAAGCCTGGCGTGCCTCAGTCCATGGGTCACAAAGAGTCAGACACTACTTAGCGACTGAACAACAGCAAGTATACCAGATACTAATTTGCCATGTAAGGGAGTCCAGTGGGGTTTCTTGCCATCATGCCCTCTCCAAGGTGCTGCTACACTTGTGCATGGCCATGCCATGGTCTTGCAGTGGGCAGGTTGTCAGGGGTCACGGTGGGGAGGTGAAAATGCCAACCACGGAGCTTCTTGACTGAATATCACTGGGCTAACAAGGTGCTCTCCTGCCCCTTTCTTATTGGTAGGAGATCCTCAGAAGAACATCAGTTCAGGCCCCTGCCAGTTTTCACTAGTACCCCAGTACTGCGGGAAAACATGGTGAACTATTGTGTTCCTAGGTTTGCATACCATTTAGGATTCTCTGTGTTCTTCCAGGTATAGTATCCCATTTAATCTTGATAATTGCTCTGGGGCTGGAGGGAAAGGGGAACAGTTCTGGAACAGCTATTGAGTCTCCTGCCTTTGGGAATAAATACAATAGGACTCAGAGAGGTTACCCAACTGTCAGTGGGAAAGGTGTGGAAACTGCAAATAAATAAAGTAATTTCAGGGCCATGGAGTAGCTAGAGAGTTCATTTTCAAAGAGCTTTTGAGAGAAGTCTTTGTCTGGCTAGTTCCCAGCTGGGATTCTCTTGTCTGTGCCTCCAGAAATTTGCATTCTAGTTATTCACTGTCTGTCCCAGTCTTGGTTCTATACCCTTCTCACAGAAGAGTTCCTCTTCATAGGATGCTGCATTCTTTGAAAAGGCCCTTTTCTTTTTATCCTCTGCCTCCTGTAGGGATGTTTGAGTTCTTTTTCCATTTATTGTTCAATGGAGCCGAGCCTCAGTCTGTCCCTGTGGGACACCCTATTGTTCTATGTTAATAATTAACCTTTACAAGAGCTCTGGTCATAGGCGTTTAGCCCAAATGCAAAGAAAGCTGCAGTTTGGTTATGACAGAGAGATCTCACATGTTGTTGCATGGGGATCAGAAAGGAGAAGCTGCTAGCCATTAAACGTTTTTCATTTCTTTTTCACTCACTTGAGTGATTGCCTAAGAATCTTGCAGTTTTGTTTTGTTTTTCTCCTCTTTGCACATGGTCAGTCCACTAGAATTAAGAGATTCAGCTTTTGAACTGGGAAGTTGAACAGGCATGACTTGCAGTGTGTTATGAAAGATGAGCTCATGGGTGCTGGTAGCACGACCTTGTGCTGAACGTCTATAGGCGGCGAAGCGCATGGACTCTGGGACCAGCTCCCTGGGTTCAGGTCCTTCTCTGGCACTTAACTGGCTGTGTGACCATGGACTGGTTCCTTAACTACTGTCCATGTCTCTTTCTGCATCTGTAAAATGGGAGGATGATGGTAGGTACCTCAAATGGGTGTTGTCAGGATCTGATGGGGTGCTAGACTTCAGATCCCGAGGACAGCGCCTGGTAGGAGGTGCTCAGTAAATATTAGTATTGTTGCTGTTCTCAGTGTTACTGACCATGATTTCATCCATGGCTAAGGTTGTATGGTAGGAGAGACCTTTTCAATTCTTTGTTGTTAATCAATAAGAAAAAGCATACATCTTAATTCTCTCCTCATATTGGGAGAGAGAAGAGAAGCAATTCTACAGCTAGATGTTTGGGATTAAATGATATATACTGGAATGACCCACTCAGTTAACTTTTTATCACTGAGATGAGTTGTAAGAGTTTAGCACTTAAGTCTTGTTATTTTACTGAAAATGGAGATAAGACAACTTTCTCAGGTCTGCAGAAAGGATCAAGGGAGTTAACAGCCACCCTCAAAATAGCTGAGATGTTTATGCCCATACTCTGTGCCCATTCTAAGTGCTTCCCATGTAGAAACTCATTTCATCCTCAAGACATAGTCTATTCCTACACTCCCATTTTCAAAGGAGGAAGCATACCCAAAGCAGTTAAATAACTTTGAAGTTCACACAGCTTGGAAGTAGTGGATGTGGGATTTGAACCTCAATTGGGGTCCTGATTTAGAATTTGAATAAGACAATGTGAAGGACATAGCAAACTGGCCTACATAATCAGTACTCAGATGCTAGCCCTTTTGCCATCTGTTTTCCCCTGTTTATTGTTATGATATGGATGTGACATTGCCTAGAGATCAAAGGACCAAGACATATCTGAGGGCACTGCATCAGAATTCAGTTTTAACAACTTTAAAACCTCTTTGAAATTCTAATTTGGGGAACAAGATTAATCCCTAGTTTTACATGGGTTATATGAAGTTTAGAAAGTCATAATTCTTTAAAATGTTTTAGGGTGTTTTGTTCTCTTATTGTGTGTATATAGAGGATACATGCAATGTGGAGAAAAATATAGATCTTCCCTACCAACTCTTAACACAGTCATTTAAAAAAACAAACAAACAGTAAAACAAGATACAGTGAAAAGTAAGTCTCTCTCCACTCCTGAATATTAATTCTACAAATCCTCTCCCCAGTGACTGTTTTATAGTTTCTTGTGTTTCCTTCCAAAAATGTTTAATGCATTTGCAAACATATATACATAAAATGCACACTTCCTAACACACACACCCACTTTGCATAATGATAGCATAATGCACATGGTTCTGTACCTTGCTGATTCACTTCACAGTATTACTCAGAAAACCCATGTCAAAACTGGGAGCACTGCTTTGTTTTTGAGGGCTGCCTAATATTGCATTATAAAGATGTGCCAGTCTGTTACTGATGGTCATTTAGGTTGTTTCTGGTCTCTTACCGAGAACATTTCAGTAAATATCTCTGGAAATATTTGTGTCTGTGCAACTCAGTCTCTTTAGATTTCTACTTGCATTGTATAACTTTCTGACACTGCAAAAAATTGGCCAGAAGGAAACAGACAAAAGGAATACAGTGCAAATGCAGGGGCGTATTCAGGGTCTCAAGTGCTGTGTCTCATGTTTCCCGTATTATTTCAGACTGTCGTGTCCTGATGCTTCTTCTTGGGCCTTTTTCCTGAGTTCCCAGTGAGCAATGGATGGTTGCAGCTTGCAAGATTGATTCATATGGCACTTATTTGACTTTTGACAGGTTGTTTATAAGAATAATGATATCCGTCTGGAGCTGTCTCGCTTGGCCAGGATTGGGGACACCAAGATGAAGATCTATGGTGAGGTGGTATTCAAGTGTGAGAATGTGGCCACACTGGACCCCATCAACTTCGAGACCCCGGAGGCTTACATCAGCTTGCCCAAGTGGAACACCAAACGCATGGGCTCCATCTCCTTTGACTTTCGCACCACGGAGCCCAACGGCCTGATCCTCTTCACTCACGGCAAGCCCCAAGAAAGGAAGGATGCGCGGAGCCAGAAGAACACCAAAGTGGACTTCTTTGCTGTGGAGCTCCTCGACGGCAGCCTGTACCTGCTGCTTGACATGGGTTCAGGCACCATTAAAGTGAAAGCCACGCAGAAGAAAGCCAACGATGGGGAATGGTACCACGTGGATATTCAGCGAGACGGCAGATCAGGTAGGAAGAGGCAGGGTGTGTGCAAACGTCCCTTTCCTTATAGTTTTGTTTTTTTTATTTTATTTTAATGTTTGCACTTGCTGATTCTTCTGCTGTTCTCCTTAATGCTTGTTGTAAGATGATGTTGCCAAACAAGACACCTGTCTTATCAAAGGCTGACATTCTTCTCCTCATCCCCCTTGTCAATCACTGCACAATGGCTTCAGCGATAGCTCTGAGACCCTGGGACTGAGGATGCTTTTACAAGGAGCATTCGCACTGCTGCCAAAGTGACTGGCATGTCACTGGTGTGATGGTTTTTTTCCCCCCTTCTCTTCTCCTTTTTCTTATCACCATAGAAACCAACTGTGACATCACAGATGCTGCACTATGTGATTACTCTTGTAGAATAAGCAGCCCTGTGCAAGAGTTTATACAACGATACACCCTTCAATAATTGTCAAGAGTCATATTGCAGGGGGAAATTATGACAAGAAAGGAAAAGACAAATTGATTTTTCCTGAAGTCATGTTCAATTTAAAGCCTTCCTTTGGTGTGAAAGCCTATATTTCACTCACTGCTCAGACCTCACTAACTCTCCCTTCCTCTTCATAACCTTCTGCATTTGCTTCAAATGGCTTTATTTCTGCAGCCACGGATCAAACAAGCTAGCCCCAGGCAGTACATAGCCACTCTGGAATAGTAACAAAGGATGGGAGTGGGGAAACACAAATAGAGAAGCCGAGGCTTTGGAATGCCTGAACAGTCTGCCTGCTTTCTGTGGACATGTGGTGATGAAGGTCACATCCTGTGCCATCAGAAAGGACATTTCACCCCGAGTAGTAATTAGGGCATTTGAATTTCACATTTATTTCCCAATTCTCCATTTAGGTAGTATCATACTCAAGAAAAGTCTCGGCTCTGTTTGCCATATTTTGAAGGTTTTACTCTCCTGGTGAACACAAAAATGCCTTCCTTTTGGACATTCTGTTTCTGGGTACATTTGGCCAATAATAGAAAGCAGTAGGTTCCCCTAACAGTCTGTAGCCAGGGATGGCCGGGCATGCGCAGATGGCTCTTCTGAATCCTCCCAGAGCTGGAGGGATGGTGGAGATGAGCAGTGTTGCCCTTAGGAGGAGCCGCTTAGGTTCTGTGCAAAGGGCAGACGTGTGGCAGATTGCAGACCTGGATGGTTTATTGCCCAGCAGGCTGCCTTATTGATTGCCTGAAATTTGATAGGAACCAAGAGACTTCAAATGAAATGTGTTTGTTGGGCAAGAATGAGCATTTTGTTCTTTTTAAGCAGAAAACACACAAACTTAATTTCTTCTGAGGCCAAATCTTTCAAAGTTTATCCATAAATATGTTGGCAGGGGAGGAGCAAGAAAGCTGTCTGAGAATTATAAAAGAAACACTCCTGCTAGTTTTTAAGACCATGCACATTGGGTCTTTGGACTGATCACGGTTGACAGCTTTCATGATTGACTAACCTAGACCGTGGCACAGCTTAAATGCCACCTATCTGTGTCACGGCAGGCTAGAACATATAAAATTGCCACATATCTCTTTCTGTTTATCCTCAACACTAACTGCTTTTTCAAGTAGGGTGTTATTTTATCTGGTTAGAACCATCAGTTGACCCAATTTTGACAAACAAGTTTTGGTTACAAAACACTTTAATATTATACTTGAGTGCTATGGCATTGGTTAATACTTTGACATAGTGATAAATTTGATCAAAACCTATAAAAAATTACTGAGTAAACTAGGGGGGGCAACAGAGGATGAGATGGTTGGATGGCATCACTGACTGAATGGACATGAATTTGAGCAAACTCTAGGAGACAGTGAAGAACAGGAAGCCTGGTGTGCTATAGTCCATGGGGTGGCAAAGAATGGACATGACTTAACTACTTAATACAACACACACTGATAAGTTTGATTAAAGCCTATAAAAATTTACTGAGTAGGCAAGGAGGTGATAGAGGATGAAATGGTTGCATGGAATCACCAACTCAACGGACATGACCTTGAGCAAACTCTGGGATATAGTGAAGGACAGGGAAGCCTGGCATGCTGCAGTCCATGGGGTTGCAAGGAGTTGGACATGACTTAGCGACTAAACAACAACAAACAAATAATTGTCATATAAAAGCAGCATAACAACATTTTAATAGTTTTTTAATGTAGATTTATTTTTATTCAGAAATACTTTCATATTCACTGTTAATTAGAAGTTTAAAAATTCAAAAGGGACACAAAATAATTGGTCTTAGAGACACAAAAATGGGTCTTAGAAGTAATGTCAAACTTGCAAGTTTTAAAAGTGACATTTGTGCAGTGTAATTTAGGTCTCATAAGTAATTTTTTAATATCAAATTATTTCAGAAAGAACACAAATTACCATATTACTTTTTAGATTTTTTTTGTTTTACAGTATGTTCTTGTCAACAGATTATTTAAAAATATTTAAACCTGATAGAAAATCATTTTTTAAACAACATACCATGGAAGAATACAGTATCAGAGACACTCCTGTCATTTACATGCTCCGGAGATGGGAAATATTATGACTGAAAAGAAAAAAAAAGCTCTTAACTCATTTCTGAATATTTCCACTTGGCTCTATTGTTCTTTAAACAAGTTTAGATTTGAAGAAATTTCAGAAGAAGGGTTTTTCAAGAAATGAAGAACTTCATTTCTTCCTGAGGGTATTTTCCAGTATGTTGTTCTTATCAGTTCAGTTTGGTCACTCAGTCATATTCAACTCTTTGTGACCCTATGGATTGCAGCACGTCAGGCTTCCCTGTCCATCACCGACTTACTCAAACTCATGTCCATTGAGTCGGTGATGCCATCCAACTGTCTCATCCTCTGTTGTCCCCTTCTCCTCCTGTCTTCAATCTTTCCCAGCATCAGGGTCTTTTCCAGAGTCAGTTCTTTGTATCAGGTAGTCAGCATATTTAAGTTTCAGCGTCAGTCCTTCCAATGAATATTTAGGGTTGGTTTTCCTTTAGGATTGACTGGTTTGATCTCCTTGCAGTCCAAGGGACTCTCAAGAGTCTTCTCCAACACCACAGTTCAAAAGCATCAATTCTTCGGTGCTCAACTTTCTTTATGGTCCAACTCTTACATCCATATATAACTACTGGAAAATCTGTAGCTTTGACCGGATGAACCTTTGTTGGCAAAGTAACGTCTCTGCTTTTTAATATGCTGTCTAGGTTGGGCATAGCTTTTCTTCCAAGGAGCAAGTGTCTTTTAATTTCATGACTGCAGTCACCATCTGCAGTGATTTTGGAGCCCAGAAAAATAAAGTCAGCCACTGTTTCCACTGTTTCCCCATCTATTTGCCATGAAGTGATGGGACCAGATGCCATGATCTTAGTTTTCTGAATGTTGAGCTTTTAGGCCAACTTTTTCACTCTCCTCTTTCACTTTCACCAAGAGGCTCTTTAGTTCGTATTTGCTTTCTACCATAAGGGTGGTATCATCTGCATATCTGAGGTTATTGATATTTCTCCCAGCAATCTTGATTCCAGTTTGTGCTTCATCCAATCCAGCGTTAGTACTCTGCATATAAGTTAAATGAGCAGAGTGACAATTTACAGCCTTGATGTACTCCTTTCCCTATTTGGAACCAGTCTGTTGTTCCATGTCCAGTTCTATCTGTTGCTTCTTGACATGCATACAGATTTCTCAAGAGGCAGGTTAGGTGGTCTGGTATTCCCATCTCTTTCAGAATTTTCCACAGTTTGTTGTGATCCACACCATCAAACACTTTGGCATAGTCCATAAAGAAGAAGTAGATATTTTTCTGGAGCTCTCTTGCTTTTTTGATGATCCTACGGATGTTGGCAATTTGGTCTTTGGCTCCTCTGCCTTTTCTAAATCCAGCTTGAACATCTGGAAGTTCTTGGTTCACTTGAAGAAGACTGGCTTGGAGAATTTTGAGCATTATTTTGCTAGCATGTGAGATGAGTGCAATTGTGAAGTAGTTTGAACAGACCTATACTAAAACAAATAGTTATAAAAACATTCTGTTGTTGTTGTTTAGTCACTTAAGTCATGTCTGACTTTTCTGTGACCCTGTGGACTTCAGCCTGCAAGGCTCTTCTGTCCATGGGATTCTTTAGGCAAGAATACTGAAGTGGGTTGCCATTTCCCACTCCAGAGGATATTTCTGACCTAGGGATCAAACCTGCATCTCTTGTGTTTCCTGCATTGGCCAGCAGATTCTTTACCACTGAGCCTTCTGGAAATCCCTATAAAAAGTTAAATGTATCTAATTGTGGTGCCTGCTGCTCATCCTCAAGAATATGACTGAGAGGTGATCTTGGGAACCTTTTATTTTCATTCCCCAACTGGAGGACTGACTCTTGAAACAGATGTGGTCACACACTTAGAGGAGGATTTTGCTCAGGAGGGATTGCTTAAGGCTCCACTATTTAAATCAGTTCCAGGTGCTGTTCTTCACTGGGCAATAGAAGCTCCTGACTGTTAGTTGGTGATCAGATTATCTCTGTGGAATGTGGTGAGTAAAGAAAGCAAACTGCAGGAGAGAAGATGTTGAGGCTTGCATCCCTTTCTTCATTTGTAAAATAGGGGAAATACAAATGTCAGCCTTGAGATTATTCTGCAGCTTGAGTGCAGAAAATCACAAAGTACTAAAAATGGTGGCCGGGACAGTCTTATTGTTATGTAGGTTTTCTAAAAGATTTTAAAAGCAAAAAGGCAAAGCTGGTTTCTCCAGGAGAAACTTTGCAGGGGAGAGTTGGGGAGCAGGCCTAACTGAGCTCCCCGGTGGCCCCTGGTGCTCTTTCTGCTTTCCACCTCTGGGTAGACTTTGTGATTTAGAGTGTGCTTCACTTTCTTGATCTCATTTGATCTCCCAGGCCCCTCAGGCTGTCCTCTGTCATAGCCGAGGGAATTGAGACACAGATGAGGGACTGGCTGACGGATGGCCCTGTTATCCTGGTACCAATAAAGGACTTTGAGAAGACTACATTTTTGGAAGTTTTGGCATGACGTTCAGATATCAGTTTTATTTTGCAGTTTAGGAAATTGATCTGTAACTGGGTTCAGGGACTGGTACAGGGTTAGAAAGCCGCTTAAGACTGGAACTCCCATTCCTGAGTTCCCAGGTCAGGCTCAGGCTTCCATCTGTGATCTCGTGTGCCCTGCCCAGCCCTGATCTCATCTCTTGTTGACTTCCTCTGGCATCCTCAACTCTAGCCACACTCCTGCCTACCCCAGGGCCTTTGTAAGTGCCATTCCTGGTGCCAGACACATTCCTCTTCCCCCTGGACTTGGCATGCCTGGATCCTTCTCAGCGTTCTGGTTTCAGCTTACCTGTCACGTACTTAGAGAAGCCTTTACCAACCGTACACTTGAAAGCAGAACCTGTCTGCTGGGCTACTACACCCAATTAACTGCCTTCCTCCCAATTGCCATTTGTCCGTCTCTTTTGTTTATTCAGTGACTTGTTTATTTTCTCTTCCTCTGCTCTGGAACATCAGCTTCATGAGAGCAGGGGCATGCCTGTCAAGTTCATGTCTGTGCTTGGAACTATACTAGAGATAGAACAGGTTCCAATATATATTTGTTAAGTGAACACATGAAGAAACACGTTCCAGTTAAAATGTATCAAAAGCAATGAGTGTTGAAAATGCGTACTGGCTAGACGGGTACCTAAGACAAGTACAGAGGATATCAGCTCATGGAGAGAGAGGAGAGAGAGACGGAAGAACAGGCTCCATCCTCTGGCAATGGTGAGCCAGTGGTGAAGACTCAGGCGGGACTTACAGACTCTGTCCTAGGTCCAGAGTAAGAAGCACCTTACATATATGAGCTCATCTGCCTGCAATCCATAGGGTTGCAAAGTTGGACGTGACTGAAGCGACTTAGCATGCATGCATGCAGCCATCATGCCAACCTGTGAGGTGGGACAGATCCTTTCCCATTTTACAGATGAGGAAATTGAGGACTTAGAAAAGTGAAGTCACTTCTTCAGGGTTATCTGGCTGGTAGGTGGCAGAGCTAGGATTTAAACACAGGAAAGGATGGTGCTGCTGTCTGCCTATATGGCATGCAACCTTTCAGTCAAGGCTTTTAGGTAGGAAAAAAAAAAGATACTGTTTTAGGTTCTGGCCACTGGCATTGTCCTGGCTCCATCTCTGGGCTCAGCTGTCTTAGCTGGCAGGGACCAGAACCAAATGGCCTGCATTGTCCTTTTTTACCATTTTGTGACCTTTCATTCCCCACTCACATGGTTCTCTCCTGTCTGGGCCACACTGGTGTCCCATTTCGCCTGCTAGGTTCCTTTCATTTGGTTCATCAACTGGCAGGCTCACCTGGGATGCAGGGAGGGCTGTGAGCTCACTCTTTGTCTCCATTCTCCCATCCCAGGTACCATATCAGTGAACAGCAGGCGCACGCCGTTCACCGCCAGCGGGGAGAGCGAGATCCTCGACCTGGAGGGGGACATGTACCTGGGCGGGCTGCCAGAGAACCGCGCTGGCCTCATCCTCCCCACGGAGCTCTGGACCGCCATGCTCAACTACGGCTACGTGGGCTGCATCCGCGACCTGTTCATCGACGGGCGCAGCAAGAACATCCGGCAGCTGGCGGAGATGCAGAACGCCGCGGGCGTCAAGTCCTCCTGCTCCCGGATGAGCGCCAAGCAGTGCGACAGCTACCCCTGCAAGAACAACGCGGTGTGCAAGGATGGCTGGAACCGCTTCATCTGCGACTGCACGGGCACCGGCTACTGGGGACGGACCTGCGAGCGGGGTGAGTCACGCGGTGATGCACTGGATGAGAGCGGGGAGACGTGCCTGGGCTTCCTTTGCTATCGCGGACACTTTTTTGGGACCTCCTGTGTGTGCGTGCTTCTGCAGGAGAATTTTCTTGGGTTCACTGCTTTCCAGGTGACACCCTTTCTAGGTCTGGATGTTTGGTTCAGTTTGGCTAGGATTGGATTGTAGAAAGGGAAACTAGCATAAATAGGAGCTAGGTCATGATGCTTTTTTGATGGAGTGTTTGACATCTTCTCTTTGAGAAGGCCAATACTTTTTCTTTGGCTATTCTGGCTGGGCTCACCAACTGGCTGTTTCATTTGTTCCTTGAACTCATGCTTTTTGGGTGCTTTCTCTGGGCTAGCGCTCAGATTAGGCTTTAGAAATACACTGTAGAATAAAACAGCCCCAGCCCTGTTCTTTGGAACTTGCTGCCTAGTGGAATAGTTAGCTGTTAAATAAATAATCACGTACATGTGGGGTTTTATAAGGCAGTGGTGTGTTGGTTAAAAACATGAATTCTGGGGCCAGACTGGGTGAGAAATATGGCCTTCATAGAGTGATATGAACTCAAGATAATATCTTTGAGACTTGACTTCCTCTTCTTTAAAATGGAGATAATCAGGTTCCTTCCCTAATAGTTCATTTGGTAAAGAATCCACCTGCAATGCTGGAGACCCCAGTTCAATTCCTGGGTTGGGAAGATCCCCTGGAGAAGGATAGGCTACCCACTCCAGTATTCTTGGGCTTCCCTTGTGGCTCAGCTGGTAAAAAATCCACCTGCAATGCTGGAGACCTGGGTTTGATCCCTGGGTTGGGAAGATCCCCTGGAGAAGGGAAGGGATACCCCCTCCAGTATTATGGCCTGGAGAATTTCACAGACTGTATAGTTCTTGGGGTCACAAGGAGTCGGACACGACTGAGTGACTTTCACTTTCACTTTCTTTACCTGCTAAGTGAAGTGAAAGTTGCTCAGTCGTGTCCCATTCCTTGTGACCCCATGAACTATATAGTCTGTGGAATTCTCCAGGCCAGAATGCTGGAGTGGGTTGCCCCTTCCCTTCTCCAGGGGATCTTCCCAACCCAGGGGTCAAACCCAGGTATCCCACACTGCGGGTGGATTCTTTATGAGCTGAGCCACAAGGGAAGCTTCCTGCCTGCTATTAATCATGATTAAATGAATCAATAGATTCCTGCACTATGGAAAGCATATACTCAATGTCAGTGATTGTTATGGTCATAATTATTGTCATTGACATCATTAACGGGAAAGTACAGAAAAGTTTGGGATTCCTTTTCAGGGGGATCCAACATACTGTAGGGATTCATAGAAAGCTTCTGCAAGAAAGAAATATGTAGGTTGAGACTTGAAATATGAGAGATAGCTAGCTTGGCAACAAGGTGGGAGAAAACCATGTGTTCTAGATTGGAAGGACGTTGTGTGCCAAGAGGTAAGCGACCATGGCACAGTTGAGGAACCAAACAAAGTCCATAACTAAATGGAGTAGGGAGTGAGGGTGGGGGGAAGGGTGTGAGAGGTGGCTGAAGTGTTGGGGAACAAACAGTGGGGACTGACCCTTTAGAAGAGACCATCTACCACTTTAACTTCTTACATTTGCACTGAATTTACAGTTTGGGTAAAAGGCAGAGATAAAGGTAAGCAAAGAGATAACATCGAGATACAGAGATGCCAGTCTATAAGCCATGTCCAGATTGCAGCTTGGTTAATTGTTTTACATGCCAAGGACACACAGTTCAGCTGACTCTCTATGAATTGTCTACCAAGATTTTATATGAAAGGATACTTTAGACAGTTAACAAATTTTTGCTGAGGGCATCGCTCTAGAGCTTCGAAAATACTGTGTCTGGGGTAGACATAAGTTCTGCCTCCAGAAGCTTATCATTTATTTAGCTGCGGAGTTGAGACATCTATACAGGAAGCATAGATGTTTGCTTCCTGTATAGATGATGCAGGACAGCAGCATGGACTGGACTACTAGGAGAACATGGAAATTTGAAGAAGACTTTCCTGATTAGGGACATACAGGGTCTCATCTCTTAAGTATACCAGTGGCCAGACTTGTTCAAGTTTCAGAAGCCTGGTGATGAGATGGGATCCTGGAACAGGCTTAGGTAACCAGTCAAGGATTTTCAAGGACTCACTTTTTGAGGTCAACCATATAGCTAGCTAAAGTGCATTTCAAGAGAACTGCAAACCTTCACTACAGCTGGACTGAAAAAGAGGACATGGGATATTGGAATAAAGGAAAAGGAGCTTTCTTGGGGCTCATGGAAGTTAAACTCAGATTCACTGAATTTTCAGAGCAGCGACCCCAGAACATGAGCTGAGATGAGGCGGCAGCCATCTGGAACAGAAGTGGGCCTCATTTGGCTGGCCAGTCTGTCGAGCTCGTGAACGCCTTCCAAATCTCTTTTTTAGGGTAGATGATCTTAGTTGCTGGTTTGGGGAGACAGAAAGGTCATTTGACTGCTGGATACATGAGGCCATTTGGATAGAAGTCACGATATTGTGGATGGTCCACCGTCAAGGAAGGTAGTGTAAGAACCCAGGGTCCCTTCAGACATCTCTTGCCAGCTCAAGGGCCTTGTGATTACTGAAGACAAGCAACAGTGACTGGAGACAGCTGTGCAAGGTGTCCCCAGGATCACCTTTCCACGGGCAAATCAGTGGAGGTTGGTCCAAGGTTTGCCAAATACAATGAAAGTCATTGCACCTTTTATGTTGTCACTTTTGACTCGTCATTAAACGGCAGCTGATTGGGGATATATGAGGGACAATTATTCCTGGTACAGTGTAGCCAAAAACCATCCATTGTGGCCAAATGAGAAGGAGCTAGCAAATTAAAGACATTTGATCTATATGTCGCTCAAATCCCAGACGGGTCCGCTGATTGTTTTGTTCCCCGGCTAATTGTTTTCTGGCCCTGTATTGTTCCCGACACTGTGTTCAGAATGAGTCAGTGGAGCATAAAGATGATGGGACTCTACTTTGCTGGCAAAGAAAATAGTTTCCCTGTGACATTGTTTTTCTTTATTGAAACTGATTTGTCAGCAGAGATGCTTTTGAGTCTCTTTTGTTCATTTGTTCATACATGCAACAGACATTTGTTGAAACCTGAATTCATTCCAGGCACTGCGTTAGATGCTGGGAATGAAGGGGAAAAAGAAACTGACATAACCCCTGATTTTTATTACAGGGTGTATAGTCTTTGTGGGGAGAGAAAGGTAGGGAGTGTGCTAATGTGTGGCAGATATCAGGCCTGATGTCTTAGGGGATCAGAAGGGCAGACAGATGGGAGAGGCCACACCTATCTGGGTGAGCAGTTGGGAAAGGGGGGCCTGAGGTTACTTGCATTTTTTTAAAATCTCCTCTTAATAACAAAACTAAGGCTTCTCTCTGTCTCTGACCCTCAAGATCCATTATAGGCACTTCCGAAGAGTGGTAAAGGGTGAGTGTTAATATTCTTTATGCAAGACCGTCATCCTCTTTGGCAAGGAGTGCTGCCCCACCCACCATAACACCAATGTGTTCACTCAATTTACAGTTCTCTAATTTTTTTTTTCTAGAAGCAGTACTAAGCCTGACAATCATTTGTATCAAATTTGAGAAGACTAAGACGATCCCTAAGGCAGTGTGTCCCATCTAAGCCCAACTCTGTTCTATGTTTGGGCTTCATAGCAGTGTCAGTCCCTTGGTGCCATCGGCCACACAACAGAAATGGTGGTTGAAAGAGGCACTTATTTATATCAAATGGAGAAAGCATAGGCGGGATGCTGAAATCCAGTATTCAGAGAAAAAACAGAGTTAGGGATGGCTCTGGGAAGACACCAAATGACCAGGAACTCAAGCAAAGTGAGCAAGCACATCCTTCTTGGATACAACTCCCAGGTTAAAGTTGTCAACCAGAGACAAGGGAGTAAGGGCAAGGGAACTAGGAACTGTATGAGTACATGGAAGTGTTAGTCACACAGTCGTGTCCAGCGCTTTGTGACCCCATGGACTGTAACCCGCCAGGCTCCTCTCTCCATGGAATTCTTCAGACAAGAATGCTGGAGTGGTCAGCCATTCCTTTCTCTAGGGAATCATCCCAGAGGCTCCAGGAGATCCATCCCGGGTCTCCTGCATTGCAGGCAGATTCTTTACCATCTGAGTCACCTGGGAAGCCCATAAGACTAAAGTTAATTTGCATGAGTATCTTCCTCTGGTAGTAAAAATAGATGACTCTTGCTTGTACCCTCGCAGGAGTGCTTCTACTACATATGAGGGTCAGCAACTCTAAATTTTGACATGTAACAATTGGCTTCATGTTGCATTTAGATTTTTTTTTTTCCACCATGATCTGACACTACTCTAAGGAGATGTAGATAGATTCATCCACCCCAGGTTGTTCAACTGTGGCGGTTCTGGTTTGTTCTTTGTTAACCATAGTGTTGTGGGAGACCTGTCCATGACCTAAAAAGCTGAGGCCTGCTGTAGCTGTTTAATGCCTATTTGTTTGATTGAAATGCATCTGCTGGAAGACTGCTTGCCATTTTAAAAGTCCTACTGTACAGAGGAAACAGTCTATCTTATCTATTGTAGGATGATCAGTTGACTCGGGACAACACAGGCATCTTCTCCTCGTCAGTGCAGCCAAACTATAGTTTAATTAGTGGGGACCAAGTGTCCATAGGCAAGGTTGTGAATTTATTTGTGGACCATCAAACTTCAGTCTGAGGCTGCTGCAGATTCTATCCCCTTCCATAGATGGCTTTTTCTGAATGCATGCCATCGTTTATTTAGCAGAAAATAAAGCAAGGCTCAGCACAAACTCATTTCTATGATGAAAATAACCTACACTCCAGTACTTAGACTTGGGATGACCTGGTGGTTAGTGGCAGGAATTTTAGAATCAGATGGACTTGCTTCCTAAAGTTGGTTCTGTCAATAGCTAGGAAGTGTACAACATATTTCTTGTTTTTTCCAAGTCTGTT